AAAGCGGTTTTATCCACAAACACCGAGGAGACGCTCAATACGCGCTTTTCCCTTCCCACAGCAGGGAATGCCGGGCAGGAATGCCGGGCTCTGTCCCCAGCCCCTCCCGAGGGTCCTGCTGCGGGGGGCAGGAGGGGGACCAGGAGGGGGTGGTGTCAGGAGAGGATGCCAGGAGGGGGATACCCGGAGGGGTGCAGGGCTGCGGGGACACCCGGGGGCCATGCCCGGGCCAGGGCACGGCCCGGCCCGTACCTTCGACAGCTCCTGGTACTTGCGCTCGGGGATGACCGGCTGTTTCCACAGGACGCCGGCGCACAGGTCGGCGGGGGGGGGCGTCATGGGCGCCGTGTCCTCCAGGGCATCGTCGTAGCTGAAGGCGCGGCGCGGGACGCCGAGGGGCAGCGACATTCTGCCCCGGCGGGCCCCGCCGCCCGGCTCCAGCGCTGCGGAGAGAGCGCGGCGCTCAGCGACCGCCAGCGCGGCCCACTGGGGCCGGCGGGGAGCGCGGGGGGGCCTTACCGGGAGCGTCGGGCTGCGCAGAGCTCATGGCGCGGGCGGCGCGGTCAGCGAGGGGCGGCGGAGCGCGGTGGGGCCGAGGGCGGCCGAGCCATGGCGGAGCCTCCGGCAGCCGCGACCGGCGCAGGGGACGGGGAGCTACGGAGGCGCTCTTATAGGTGCGCAGATCTCGCGAGTCTGGCTGCGACGCGCGGGGTGCGCTGGGAGATGTAGTTCTGACGGAGGGGGCGGAAACGGGCCCCGCGGGCTTGTGCCAAAGGGACTCCGGGCATAATTCCTGCCGGGATCACACAGGCGGGACACGGCTCCTGCCAGCTGGCAGCGCTGCTCCCATCCCGAGCAGCCGTGTCTCTCCCTCGCAGGATAAGAGCGAAGCCCTGAGCACGGCAGAGCTGCCAGCGAGCAGAGGCAGCTCTTCCTCCTGCCCACCAGCGCGACCTGGGCACCGTCACCCGAGCCCTGCCCACCAGCGTCCTCTGCGTGAAGAGCCTGCTGGCAACCCTGCTCCCCCAGCCCTGAGCCCACACAGTGGGGGCAGACAGGCTCCCACCCCTAGCACAGCTCTTCTTTGGGGTCTGCGACGAGAGGATGGAGGGACCAGGGAGCTCCTGGAGCTCAGACTTGCTGCTGGCCCTGGGGTGTTCACTGCAACCCACGAAGTCTGAGGGTGAGCTGTGGGGAGCTGCCCTTGGGGAGCATGAGCAGCAGGCTCTGCTGCCAGCCATGAGGAGAGGGCAGCCATCTCCCACAGTTCACGGATGGAATCTCCCTTAGGATAGAGGTACAAGCATGGTTCTTACCTTCTGGTGAGCTCCCCAGGGCCCCACACCTTCACAGCAGCCCTGCAGGATATTAAATGAACAAGCAGGGCAGTCCTCTCGCTCACTGGCACCAACAGTACCCACTCAGGAGGTGGGCTCTCCTTCCTGGGAAATCAGTTACTGCTGGTACAGCCCTGCCAGTACAGCACACAGTGGGAATAACGAGCTCAGCCTGTCCATTCCAAAGGCTGAGCACAGCTCTCAACTTTCCCAACCCTGTATTTAAAGCACTGTTTAGGAGAGATGAAGGCAGGTATCGAGCAGCCCAGCACAGGGGTGAAGATGGGCTGTTCTGTGGGAGCTGCACTCCACAGGTATTTGCCTGTTCTGCCTGATGCTCCACTGTCCCAGGGAGAAGGGGATAGAGCCACACTCAGGGATAGCAGGAAGCCCTGCCTGCCAGCAGGACTCTGCTGGATCAGCCCACAGGGCACTGGGTCCTGGAAAACCAATTGTGGAAGCTTGGAGCCCATCAAGGAGCGGGAGTGCACACCAGCCTGTCCCTGCTGCGAAACCCTTCATACAGCTGCTCCTTCCTTTTGCCAATAAAAGCTCTGCACTGCCCTCCAGGTCCTCAGCAGGGAAGGGGCCACAGCCTGGTCTCCCACACTGCAGGCAGGAAGGTCACCAGCAGGGGAAGGAAGCAGCACATGGCCCCACTCTGCTGCCTACAGGGCAATCAGCCAAGGTCTGAGTGCTGCCCACACCCTGTGGGCCCCAGCCCTGTCACCACGGAGGGTGACACGTGCCCAATACCAACGTCACACGGGTCGGCACCAGGAGCTCTCTAAAACAGGGCTCATCAAGCAAGAGCCCAGAGCAAGACATTCACACCAGCTTGAAAGAATATTTTATTTCAGGAAAGCAAAAGAAGTGCCAGCTGCCACACAGAAAGTGAGCAGCACAGCACAGTCAGTGCCAATGCCAAAGAGTCTTTCATGGCTGGTCTGTCTAATGAGGGTCCTTTCTCCATCTCCAGAGGCTTTTTTCAGTTCAGAAAATGGCCATGTCAAGCCTGCACTTGCAGGTAAACCTGAGGAAAAAGGGCAGTCACTGCACATCCATCTTTTCTGGCTTGAGTGATGCAATGAATTCCTTGTACTCCTCGGGATAGAAATTCTTGTACACATTGATCTTTCTCTTAATCTGCTTTGGAGTATCCTGGTAGTAGTTCTTCTCATCTCGAGCCATTTCCTGTGACAAAGAAGAGGGTAAGTCAGAGGAGCTGCCCCAAGAGCAAACACCAACCCATCCCTCCCACGCTGGCACAATCACTCCCTGACTCAGACGGGGACCTGGCCATGGTTCAAAGCATTGTTTTCCCTTAACAATCAGCTGACTGCAAAACAGGATCCAGGACAGAGAGGATTAGCAATTCCCATCCTGCAGAAGGTCCAGGAGCAAGGACTCTCTGGGTTCTCCTTGCCCTGGGACAGCCAGGCCATACCTTGTAGTTTTCCCCGTGGTTCCGTATCATGTACTGCACGTAGTCAATGAGGTCCCGTGACAGCGTGTTCGACTTCTTCTCGGGGAGGCTGGCCTCATATTCCATCTCTAGGCAGAGGACAGAGGCAGCATGAACAGGGGAAGGAAGCAACACCTCCTCAGAGGTTCCCAGCCTCTCCCCAGGGTCAGCCTGCCCGTGCTGCAGACTCCTGCTGCACAGTTTGGCTGCTCACGCATGCAGGGACATTTCCCAGCATGATGGCGCAGGAAAATGGACAAGACAAGACCCCTCTGCATGGGCTGCAGGCATCCAGGCCTGTGCTCCAGCTCACACCATGAGGAGAGGGCCCTTTCTGCCCAGGCTGCAGAGTGTGACTGCTCAGAGCTGCCCAGCCCACCACTAAAACATGCTGGATACTGAACCACGGCTTCTTGTCACCCTGGGGCCACTCACCAGCATGTTTCACAGTGACAAGAGCCCTCTTGGGGCTGCAGGGACAAATCCTCCAAGAAAGGTAGCCCGGGAGAGAATCACAGAATTATTAGGGTTGGAAGAGACCTCTGGAGATCACCCATTCCAACCCCCCTGCTAAGGCAGGGTCACCTGGAGCAGGTGACACAGGAATGTGTCCAGGTGGGTTTGGAATGTCTCTAGAGAGGGAGACTCCACGCTCTCCCTGGGAAGCTGTTCCAGTGCTCTATCACCCTGAACAGTGAAAAGTTTTTTCCTCGTGTTGAAGTGGAGCTTGTTGTGTTTTAGTTTATGGACATTACTCCTTGAAAAGGAAATTCACGAGACAGATCCAGGGGAATGGCAGAGCTGCTGTCCTGCTCCGCCCTGGCTGGAAACCCCCAGCCCAGGGCCTTCACAAGCCCATGAGCCTGGACAAGAAGTAACACCCTTCCTTGCCCCGGCACAGCACAGACGCACAAAATACTCCCCAGGGCCTTGGGAGAACCCCACATGCAGCACTGACCGTTCACCACGTACGGCTTCCGCACTATTTTCTTTCCTGATTGTTGTCCATTGCTTTCCGCTTCCACCCCCTGTGTTACATGAGAGAAAAGAACACTCAAGAAAAGTCCATTTGGAAGAGGGTTGTGTCCCCACACATTGCTCCCAAAACTCCTGACTGCTTCTACATGGCTGCAAGGGCCCGGAAATCTCAGCTGGCTTAAGCAGAGCCTTATTTGTGACATTAAAGAGGCTTGTAGGCCAGCCTGTCTTCTCAGCAACGTTGTCTGAAAGGAGATAAGTGGCAAACAAGATCACTCTGATTTTTTCCCTTGAGTAGAACCTTTGTGGGGCCACCTTCCACCTGGCTGCTCACAGATGGTGATGGGCCATGCTGGCACTGCTGTGCACAAAGAGCCCTTCTTTGTTATCAGGAGCAACTTGGCTGCACCGTTCTCAACCCCACCTGTCTCTGTCAAGTCCCAGGAGATGACGTTATTTATATTTGTTTGAAAGTCTATACTTGTTCTAAAGTCCATTATGTCTCTGCGGTGCTGTAGCTCGTTCTCACGCCAGGATTTTGGTGAGAAAAGTACATAGATCAACATAAGAAACAGCGTCCACCTGCTGGAGACGAATCCAGAGCCACTTGCCCCATGCTCTGAGGCTGGCTGCTCTCCACGCTGCTTTCCCCAACCCCCCACAGCCCCCCAAAAGGTGCAGCCTCCGCCGAGCTCCCCCGGGCACACTTACCAGCTTCTTCGGGATGGGGAGGGCCTTGTTGGGGTCCTCGGACAGGCCCATCTCGGCCAGGTTCTGCGCCACCGACTTGCTCGGGTCCCAGGCATGGCGGATGTGCGAGCTGCGCGGGGACAAGGGACATCACGGCTGTGCTCCCCCTCCCCACCGACACGCGCTGCAGGTTCCCCACGAGGCGCCCGCTCCCGCCCGCCCTCGGCTCATGCCCGTGCCCGTGCCCGTGCCCGTGCCCGTGCCCCCGGCCCTCACCAGGCGATGCGAGGCGCGGCGCGGCGGCGGGCGCTGCGGTAGAGGCGCTTGCGGTTGAGGTTGTAGGAGTATTTGTGCCGCCGGCTCTTCCCCTTCGCCTTCGGCATGGCGGGCCCACGTGAGTGCCCGTGCGGCAGGGCCACCGGGGCTGCCGGCCGCGCCGCGGGGCGTCACGGGAAGTGTAGTCCCGCGCCCGCAGAGCCACGCGGTGGGTGTGCTACAGCGGACTACAACCCCCGGCATGCACTGCGCCGGGGCGGGGGTACGGCAGCTGGGAGGGGCCGCGGCTGTCACCTTGGCCATGGCGGCCGGGCCGCCACCGCCGCCGGGTCCTCCCGTGCTGCCCGTGTTCAGGGAGGAGGGATTCGGGGACAAGTTCCTGCGCAAGACCCGCGAGAACCCCCTCGTGCCCCTCGGTGAGGGTGGGCGGAGGTGACGGTGCTGAGTGAGGGGCGAGGACCGGGGCGGTGCGGGCCGGTGAGGAGGCGGTCCCTCATGAGCCCCGGTCCGGCCGCCTCCCGGGCGAGCACGGCCCGGGTGTGGGAGTGCTGTGGAGCCAGCCCAGGTGTGGGGGTGCTGTGGAGCTGGCCCGGGTGTGGGGGTGCTGTGGAAGCGCGGGGGGAGCTGCTTCTCGCTCACAGCCTCGTCCTTTCCCCAGGCTGCCTGTGCACCGTCGGCGTCCTGACCTACGGCCTGATCTGCTTCAAGAAGGGCAACACCCGCCAGTCCCAGCTGATGATGCGGGCGCGTATCCTGGCCCAGGGCTTCACCTTCGCGGCCCTGCTGGGGGGCATGGTGGTCACGGCCCTGAAATCCAGACAGTGACCTCGGGCAGGAGAGGAGCTGCGGCCGCGGGCCAGCGCCCACCACCCCCAGATGGATCCTGGCTGTGGATGGAGTTTTCTGAGGGACTGTCGTGATGTCTTGGTCGAGCCACTGCTGGAGAGGCTGTGTAATCCAGAGCACTGGAAATGGGGTGAATACACTCTGTGATTATCCTGAAATTTGGGCTGTGGCTTTTCTTTGATTCCTTGAGGGCTTATCCTGCAACACCAACGTTGTGTCACTTAAGGCTCATTACCCCTGTGACAACTCTTGTCCCTGCTTGGTGCTGTCACAGCCTGTTAAAATCATGTCCTCTGGGTTGTGGTCTGCATTGAGGTGTGGCCTCAGTCAGGCAGTGCACAAGCATTTGAGAAATGAGCTGCCCAGGTAGGAAGGAACAGCTGTTTATGGCTCGGTCTTGGCAGGACAGAGTCTATAAGCAGCAGGGGAGCAGTCTGGGGAGGATGTGTGACCTGTTCAATTGCAACTGGTGAGTAATAAGGTGAATTGCAGGAAGATTGTGACTGATACTGGATTGCAGAGCATTGAGAAACCACAACAGTAAGCAGTGTAGGGAAGAAAGGGGGGGCACAGCTGCCTTGGAGCTGTGGTGATGCAAACAGGGCATGAGAGATGAAACTCCCTGTGAAAACAAGTTGGGAACTCATGATTCTGAAACAGGGCCTGGCTGAGTTCTCTGGGATGTGCTGCTGCTTCAGCATTCCCCTCCCCTCACTCCTGTTTTTTCCTGTAGGATATGTTGCTCTTCCAGCCCCATCCTTCCCGCAGGAGGCCTCATGGCTGTGGGTTCTCCTGAATGCAGTGTGTGTGTCCCTAAAACACAGATGACAGTGCCCCATAGGATTGGAGATGTCGGTTTATTGTAACAGATAATTTGGACAGTCACAGAAACCAAAGCCGAGGGGATGTAGAACAGCTGTGGGCACGGCTCCCCGGGAGCTGCCCCGACCTCACATGGAGCACACGGCAGCTGGGGGACCCAGGGGCCTGGCTGCCTGCAGGGCCTGGAGGAACAGAGCATGGGATGGGGGGCAAACTGTCCCCCCAGAAGCAGCCAGAGGTGCTTCCCACTGCTCTGCAGGGAAAGGCAGAGGCAGGCAGCCAAGTCCCAAGGTGTCCCGCAGCACGGCAGAGGTGCCTACGCATGCTGGAGGGCAGGGGGACCAGGCAGGAGTGATCAGCTCTATGGGCAGAGGGGCACAATCCCAACACACACCACCAAGTGACTCCCTATGCACCCATTTCCCTTCCCAGCCCGCTGCTGAGCCTGTGCCCCAGAGCCACAGGTGCCCGACCATCCCCCTGATGGCTGCAGCAGCAGCACAGGTGACATTCCTGTCTCTGGAGCCACAACTTCAGGGCAGGACAGCTCTGCACACTTGATTTCCAGCTGAGCAGGGCCCTGCAACGAGGCTCAAGTGTTTTGTGGCCTCTGCTCCATGTCCCCCCAGCTGCTGCAAGCCCTTTCCAAGCTCCCAGATGCAGGGCACAAGCTCAAAGCTGTCCCTCTCCTGCTACTCAGAAGTTGTGCAGGTTCCCAGGGCTGGTGCCAGCCCTGCCAAGCAGAGGAGAGAAAGCCAGTGTTCAGGTGGGGAGTGGGACTGAGGCATCTCCCCATGATGGCTTAGGTGGGCAAAGCCAGGGGGCAGAGCAGCTGCAGACAGATGTGCAGGTTGTTCTCAGGGACAGGACAAGCCCCAGCACCAGAACTCTGCCCAACCTCCATCCTGGGTTACGAAGCTGGGAGAGCTTGACCTGCCCCACAGCAGCTGGACCTTCCTACCTCCTTCCCTGCAACCACACAGCCTCCATCTCCCCTTCTAGTAGCAGAGGAAGGAGCAGAGCAAAGCCAAGGGCTCTCAAAGCCTGGCATCCCACATTCCCAACTGCTGGTGGTCACGAGAGAGGGACAGAAAACTTCCTGCACACTCACTCCCTGGTCCTTCTCCAGTGCCCTGACGTTGGAACCCCATCAGCTTTTTGGGGTGCACAACCAGGCTGGACCCCACTGGGATCCCTGCCTCAGGGATAGGACCGAGGCCTGAACACAGGGCTGCCAGGACAGCCACAGGCAGTTTTATTCCCAGCACAGGGGTGAGGTGGGGAACACAGGGTGGGATATTCCCTGCTCACTCAGCCAGGCTCCTGCAGACCCTGGGCCGGGGCTTCCTCCTTAACTCAGCTCTGCCACCCAGTGCCGCTTCCCAGGGAAATGCCACAGTGATTTATAAATAAGTGTAAAAAGAGACCGATGCACCTTTTAAGCAAAGGAAAACCATGGGGAGAGTTACAACCAGCGACTCGAGCACAGCCGAGGTACAGACCAGGGAGCAGGCAGTGGGAGGCCTGTCCTGGGCCGGCCCCTGGAGCCACCCGACTCGGTGATCCCGGCCGTGCCCGCAGTGCTCCCGGCTGTGCCAGGCACAGCTAGCGGGACAGGGGCATCTGTTTCAGGGAGATGAGCACCGAGCGCATCCGCGAGACATCCTTGCTCTGCTTGCTGCTCTTGGGGTTGAAATCACACAGCTGGGCCACCTTCTCCCACTCAGAGCCCGGGGTCTCCTCCTTGGACTCCTTCAGGAATGCTTCCTCCGATGCCCTGCAGAGACATTGAGGGTTGTCACTGACAGAACCCTTTTCAAGGAGGTTCTCCCCTTGTGTCCCTGCTTCCTATCCCCTGCTCCAGACAATGAGCTCAGTGTCCTCTAGGAGCCAGAGACACACGATGCTCAAGGCTGCTGTTGGCTGCACTCACTCAAGATATCATTCATCCAGGGGTGCTGGGATATCCATGTGCTCCCAAGACTTCTCCATCCCCCAACAGCCCCAAAAAGGCTTAAGAGCCCACAGCTTTGCCTCTTCAACCAGCTCCCACAGGGCCATTTCCAGGAGCTCCACTTGCCTCCTAAGACTCTACCATTCAGAGACACTCAGCTGCATCGTCCTCCCTCTGGGACCTCATCAGAGCCCAGGACCTCCCAGCACCCCCCTCCCCTTGGCTGGTCAGCCAGTGCTGGGGCAGGGACCCCCAGAGCCTGTGGGGCAGGATACAGTGTGTAAGAGGCACATACACGTAGCCAATGACATCGGCGTCCGGCTGCTGGTAAAAGGCTTTGTCAGCGATCCTACCCCAGGCACAGAGAGAGAGAGAGCGGAGCGACAGGCAGGCAGAGGGTTAGAAAGAGAGAACAGAGGGGGTTAGTCCTCGCAAAGAGTGTGACCCACACATCGCAGCACCAGAAGAACCTGGAGCCCAACCCTGCCCCCCTGCGAGACCCATGCACGGGCAGGAGGCACTGAGATCCCAGGGTGATCCCAGTGTGGTCCCAGCCAGGGTGGCTCTGCATAGCCACCAGAGCCACTCCAAGCCCTGGGGCCTCTCCCCTTACTTGACAAAGCTCCATCCCTGCAGGGCTGGGCCCCACTGTGGGGAAAAAGGCCCCCAGACTACGCAGGAAGGCAGACCTGGCTGAACAGCAGCTCCCATCATAGTCTAATGGCCATGCTGACCCCGACATACCTGTTGTTTGCCCGGTTCTTCTCCATCTGCTCATTCTGACGGAGGTTCCACTCCTCCAGGTCCTTCTTGGCCTTCTCACGCCATTCCTGCTCAGTCACCTTCGATGCTGCATCTAAGGCCAGAGTGAGTCAGAGCCCATCAGCCAGGCTGGCACCCACTGGGTGTGCTGGGCAGCCCCTCAGCAGGCAGGGCAGCTGCAGCCACCCAGACCTGTCCCCAGTCCCCACCAGTACTGGCCAAAAGGCCCCACTGCTCCAAGGACAGCAGATCTTTGGCAGGGGCACAAGACACCTCTCTGGGATGCAGCAGGTGAGGGACCCAAGGGCCCCAACTGCCACATCATGAGGCGCCACAAGCGTGGCCACACACGGCCTTGGGTCCTCACCCAGCTCCTCCAGGCGCTTCTTCTGCTCCTCCCTCCACTTGCGGATGCTCTCGGGTTCCTGGGTCAGCCGGTCAGCCTTGGCTATGGCTGCGTAGGCATCCGTGGGGCCATTGGACTCCTGCAGGACATGAGCACCTTGCCATCAGCACCAGCTCTTCCCACAGCCCAGCCCAGCCACCTCCAACAGCTGGCAGGGATCAGGACTCCACACTCCCAGCACTGACAAGCCAAGATCGGAGGTAGGAAGGGTGACGGCCTGGGACATCTGGGACAGGGTCCCCAAAGTGCTGCTCAAGCTGCACTGCTCAGCTCCCAGCCTCAAGCCGTGTCACCCAAAAATACTTCCCATCGTTCCCCTCCTCGCCTTGCCGCTCACTGCCATCACAGCTGTTGCATCCTCTGGGCAGCCCCACAGCACAGGACAGCCACTGGCCTTGGGACACACTCCCAGGGATTCCCAGGGATTCCCTGTCTCTCAGCAGGGCCAAGGAAGCCCCGGGACTGAGCTGCTTCCCTCGCTCCTGTGCTGAGTTGCTCACATGGCCCCACCAGGCCATGGAGGTGCTGGCTCAGCACCTCCCATAACACCTTCCTGGCCAGGATGCCCAGTCATGCTGACACCGAGCTCAGCAATGGGATTACATCTTTCTCCAAGATCCCTAATCTAATTAAGTCTGTCCCATTACTGATGTGATTATCAACCTGTAAGCCAGGCACGGGCCATGCAGACGCCCCACTGCTGGGCACCAAGTGAGGTGAAGGACTTGTCAGATGCTGGCAAAGTGTCTCCTGTAGCCAGCAGAGCTGGGCTTCGGGCTCCCAGAGGGAGCTGAGATGCAGGTGGGCTCCCCCCCAACACCTCTGGCCATGGGGCAAGTGGTTTTCATGGGAGATGCTGCCAAGACAGCAAAACATGTGTTCCATGGCAGCCCTGCCCTGGCTCTGGCCTCTGCCAAGAGATGCTCCTGCCTGCCCCAGACATCTCCAGAAGCTACCCAGGCTGAAGAGAGGGGCCTTCCATGGAGAATGGAGGATTTGTCACCTGCTCTTAGTGCCCAGGCACTCCTTCATGGCACAGGCCACCTGCAAACAGATGTGGGGCAGGTCATGGCAGGTGGGACACATCTTCTCTTCAAAGAGAATGGAGCAGCCAGGACTCCCCCAGGAGACCCAGACCTTTCCAGGAACACCGTAGCTGTTCTGCAGCTGGATAGCAAATTCCAGTCAAAACTGGGGGCAGAGCAGCAGAGTGCTGGCCCCACACCCACCCAATCTCCCTTAGCAGCCCTGGGCCAGGGAAGGGCTGAGCTCTCACCTGAAACACATCTCCATTGACAGTGGCTCCTCCATTCTGGAAACCAGCTGGAGAAAAAGGAAGAGAGAAAGAAGAACACAACTATGGCAGCTGCAGGTGATCTCAGTAGGGCTAGTGTTCATGAAAACTGAAGCAAATCAGTTCCTGGGAATTTGTCTGTGCCATTTCCAGCCCAGCACACCCGTCCACAACACTCCAACAGTGCCCTGTCCTTGGTGGGATCCAGCAAGCACCTCCCGCTCTCCCCCACAAGCCTCTCCAGGCATTTATGTCTTTATGGTGTTTTCACTGGTGTTTTATCTTATCTGAAGATTAGGGAAACTTCCAGGCATGGACACAGGCTGCTGCTCTGACTGAAGAAACACGTGACCAACTCCCACCTGCAGAGGCTGCTGATGGACACAGAAGCTGCTGGCTGAGTGCTGAGGCAACTCTCCAGGGACAGGGCCCATGGAAATACTCCATGTGCTCCACCAGGAGAGGAGGGCATGGATGCAGGCCAAGGTCCTTGAGAGGTCACCTGGGATGACCTGCAAGGTCAGGGCTGGGAATGAGGCACCACTGACAGCCCCAGAGAGCTGCACACCAGCATCAGAATGCCAGCCCCAGGCAGTGGGCTTTGCTGCTGGGAGAGAAGAGGCTTTGAAGGAGTCACACTCCAGGCCCTAAGCTTTCCCCAGTGACCAGCACAGGCCTTCTCCTGGCCAGACAGCTGCAGGCACAGCCACAGTGCAGCTCTGTCCCCATGGTGCTCACCCCCACGACTACACCCAGCTCCAGCCTGTCTGACTGCATTTATCACTGTGGCTGTCAACATCTCTCCAGGCCCAGATCTGCCTCCACGGCCCTGTGTGCACAGCAGTAAAACCACTGCTCCACAGCCAGCATGAAGAGACCCTGTGGGGCTGAAGTAGGGAAAGGAGTCAGAGCATCCCTATGCCCATGCAGAGAGCAGACCACTGACCCCTGCATACTGGAGGCAAGAGATCAGGATTAGCACATTCTACCTGCAGGGCCTGCGACCACAATGTTCCCAATGGAATTTCTTCCATTTTGCACTCCAAAGGGCTCTCCATCTGCGGGGACAGTGACAAGGCTGTCACTGCTCCTCAGTTCTGCCTGGATGCATCCTACATTGCCATAGCTGGGGGCATTGAGATATGGACATGGGAGTCCATCCAGCTCGGGGAACCCAGCCTGGGCACATGGGAGAAAAATCGCCCCACGGCCAACACATCCCAGCTCAGGATTCACGCCATATCCCGATGTTCTGAGGCCCTTTGGGCCCAAGCACAGGCGCAGACAGCCCTTACTGGGCTGCCAGCCGGGCCCACCCGGACACCCCATCCCCTTCCCGTGAGGTGCAGCACGGACCCCATCACCCACCGTGGGGGGTACTGTGCGTCCCACGGGGAACCCCGGCCCTGCGGGGGCGCGGCCCGGAGGACCCTTCCCCACCCTCGGGGCAGGAGGGGGCACAGCCTCCCGTTACCCCACGGGGGTGGCAGTCCCCCGTGCCCGCCGGGGCCGCAGCCGGGCGGTCCCCGCGGCCGTGCCCATCCGGCGCTCACCCTGTTCCGGCGGGGCCGTCTGCCCGCCCGGGGCGGCGGCCGCCTCGCCGTCGGTCGGCCCGAAGCCCTCGTCGTTCTCGATACCCGCGATCTCGCTCTCCTGCTGGGCCAAGAAGGCGGCAGCCGGATCCTCCTCAGCGCCGGCGCCCTCGGACGAGGAAAAGAAGCCGAAGTCGTCGGCCATGTCCGGCCCGCCCGCGCCGCTCCCGCTCCGGCTGCGCGGCTCGTCTGGGCTGGGCCCGACTGTGCCCGGGCGGAGCCGCCGCTGTCACTGCGGCGGCGGGCGGGGCGGCCGCGCTGACATCAGCGCCGGGGCGGCCCCGCGGTCGCGTCCCGCCTCCCCGCCACCTGCAGCAGGCACGGCGGGCTGGGGCTGCCCGGCTGCTCCGCCTGGGGCTCGGCGGGCCGCGGTTCTGCCGCGCCGGCTCCGCACACGGGGGCTCGTGGCTGCGGGTGGGAGCGGGGGCCCCTCAAGGGCCCCTCCATCTTGGCGACCGCCGCCATCTTGGGCGCAGGGCACGGGGAGTGCCGGGCAGGACCCTCCCGCCGGGACCAGAGGTACCGGGCAGGGCCCACCCGGTGTCCGGCAGCCCCCGCGGTGACGGGAACACAACCAGCTCCCGAGGGTTTCCGGCTCATACCCCCCGCCCTCTCGGGCTCAGAGCCCTCTCCCACAGCCACTGGCAGACCCTTCCCATCCCCAGCCAGCTCCGGGAACACCCGAGCAGCGCTCGGCACACTCGGAACTCTTCGTGCTCCCGCCGGGAACACCCGAGCACCGCTCGTCACACTTCGGAACTCTTCGGGCGCCCGCCGGGAACACCCGAGCGCGGCCAACACCGCTGATGGGATTCGGGCGTTTCCGGACGAGCCCTAGAGGCGTTCGGGTGTCTCCGGAACGCGGCCGAGCGGCTCCGGCCGATAAACAGCCATTGGCCGCGCGGCGCCGCGCCGGGGCGGAAGTGCGGGCGGGTGGCGTCACTTCCGGAGAGTGACGGAGCGGCGGGTCAGAGGCGGCGGCAAAATGGCGGCGCCTGAGGAGCGGGAGCTGACGGCGGAACAGACCGAGAAGCTGCTGCAGTTCCAGGTGCCGCGTCCGGGGGGGCCCGCGCCGGCCGGCGGGAGCGCAGGAGGCGGTGCATGGGCTCGGAACGGGCTGGGCTGGGCGCGCCCCGCCGGCGCTGGGGGGTACGGGGCACACAGAGCCGGGTAGGCCTGTCCTGGAGCCGCCCCGCTGGTGCGGGGGTGTCGGACCAGGCCTGAGGGGAGGTAGAGAGGAGAGAGACTTGTGGTCCTGGTGCTGGCGGGGGCGAGTGAGACTCCCGTGCCCCGAGTGCTTCATCGGGAGCGTTCTGTCATCGCCACCCGGGCAGGCGGGAAGTGGCTGCTGAATAAACCCCCCACGGGAAGAACTCCTTGGTAAGTCCCGACCGGTTTAATTAGTATGAAAAATTCCCTTGTCGCAGCGGGAGAGCGTTTTCTGTCACCTCGGGAGGGTTGTCCAGCGCGTTTCTGTGAATGTGGTTACTGAGAACGTCGTTCCTGCTCCTCACGGTTTGGTAACGCCACTGGAGACTGTAATGATCTGATCTGTATCTGCTGCACAACACAGGCTGAGTCGCTTAACCTCTGGTGTGCCAAGGCCTCGGGGCCGTGCAGCAGCTGGGTGATGGTAAAACCAATCTGCAGATGTGATTTAGTGGGGAGAAAACAGCTCTGGGCAGCTGAAATACTTGGGTTTGCTCAGTGAGGAGTAATTAAACGTGCTGAGCAATGAAAATTACCTTCAGGTGTCCTATGTTTGTTTCTGAGCTGTAGGACATCACATGGTGTCTCTTGGATTGCAGGGTTCTCTTACAGAGACAAGGTTTACTTTTAGGAGTGTTTTATTTGATGTTGTTGCTTTATATTTGTTATTTTCTTTAAGGCCTTGCTTTGGATTTTTGGTGTGATGTAACTGTGGATTTATAGGGCTTAAAGGGCCTCCAGAGGCATCCGGCCCTGCCTTCCCCAGGTGAGATGGTGCAGCTGTTCTTCATTCCAGACAGGGACATGCCAGGCCTTTGCCTCTGAGTCAGGGGAATTCACAACCCCCTGAGTTAATTAGTGAATTAATACACTGAGGTGTTTTCCCATGACTGGACCTGTGAGGGAACTTGTTTTACACATATCGCCTCCAAATCTTTGCTGCAGATTGGGCAGTCAAATTAAATACAGGCCAAGGGAGTGGAGCAGAGTTAACCATTGCTGTCCCAGTGCTGCCTGGTGGGGAGGTGAGGTTTGTGCAGCACTTACAGATATGCAAAAGGTCCCATTCCCAGCTTCCATTCTCTTACTGTGAGCTATCCCAGTACTTATGAATGCGCTGAGTCTGGACAGATAGGACCAGCTGCTCTCACCAGTGCCCCTGTTGCTATTTTCAAACCCCTGTGGGCAGCTGTGAAACTGAAGAATCCTGTTTCCCAATGCTACCTGGTGTTGCCATGGACTGGAGGGGAGGAGGAGGAGGCAGAAGGAAGGATTCATGCTTTAGTCCAGCTGCCTGTCCAGTCCTGGTTTGAGGTAGAGGGTAATGCTCCTCAGGCTGTAAAGGGGAGACATTTTTTAGTTAGGAGACAGCTGCTGTCCAGAGCCTGATGTGAAAGCTGTGGTCCAGAAGGCTTGGATACCAGGATCCTTGTTCTTCTGTCCCTGGGGGTATGTGGGATCAGCTTTCACCAGGGCTCTGCTATTCACAGACTCCACTGGTGATTCCTTCTCCTCTGATACTTCCCACCTGGCTGAAAGGGACTCAGGTGTGTGGTCCTACTTGTTCCTTTAGAAGTAAATCAGTCCACCTGGAAGAGGTTTTTTTTTCTTGGAGTCTGTTAAAGAGCATTTGGTGTTAGGAGAGGATGGAAAAATCTCACTAAAATAATTTGTACGTTGCTACAGAACACTGCTGCAGTCAGCTGGGAAACCCTTCAGGGATCCCTGCTGTCTTTTCAGGGAACACTTCACTGTTTTCAAAGAAAACTTTACACTTTGTTGTGATGTACCATCATAAGTAATTTATACAATATTCCGTGGTGGCAGAGCATTGTACTTCCATAGAAGGTTATGTGCCACTGCAGTGTGACTAAAGCAGGAGAGCAGACTGGGAAAGAAGGGAGGATAACAGAGATGAGGTAAGGAATAGCAGAAGGCCCTCAGTTAAATGGAGAGTCAGAGGGAAGCATGGAGCAAGAGCTGCCATTCACCCAACAAACAGCTGTTGGGGGTGAAGATGCTGTTGCCCTAAAGTGTTTACCCTACTTCTGCTGGAAATGGCTCCTTCCCAGGCAGAGGTGAGTCCCAGCTGTCCTGTCGTGGCCTGAGCCTTTGGGCACAGTCCTGTGTTAGTGCCTGCTCTGCATTAATTCCATTGATGTGTGTGATGGGTTCTGCAGTGCTCTACAAACGGCTTGGCTGGCAGAATGCTGAAACCAGCAGCTTCCTTCTTGTGGGCAGGGCTGGAATAGGGCAGTTGTCTGCACCCTGCTGGGGCAGGTTAGTGAAAAAAAAAAGAAACAGTAGGGAGAGAGAACTGGGATAAACATGAAATGAAAGCAACAAAGCCTCTTGCAGGCTTTCAGTCTCCCATTTGCTGCTGGAGCTTTGGATAATAATGTAAAGGAATAAAAGCATCTAAATTTTTCATCTGTCAAGACTTTGCTGTCTTGACATCGGTAGAGAGAAGTTTGATGTGAGCAGTTTAAGAAAGCTGTGGAGATACAGTTCATTTGGGAGATGGAAGAAACAGCGGAGCAGCTTTTGTAGGATCTGATTATTGATCTGTGCCCATTACACTTGAACTGATGTCTGATGTTATAATATGCTAATGTAAAGTAATGGAGTGTTATTTGCAAAGGAAAGAGTTGGCACTCAAGATACTGTCTCTGACTTCAGCTGGGGAAAACAGAATGCTCAGGGCTGGGTATGACTGATTTAGGGGAAAGAGGAAATATGAAACTCCAGCATCTTTCCTGCTCAATGTATCGATCAAAACCCTCATAGAGGCATTTGCTGTAAAATACAACGAGAAACTCTTGGTTAAGGCTTTTTTTCCAGTTTGAAGTCAGGTGTTCTTTACCCTTGGAAACATAATTCTCTGGAATTTGGCAGTGGGTTGGGAAGTAAGAGCAGTGCCAGTTAGTCCTGTGGATTTGCATCTCGTGCTGTGTTTCAACATCAGAGCGTATCTGCAGAGGCAACAGTTTCGTAAGTCCAGTTTACAACCTTTGTCCACTCCAGGCTATTCCTTCTGGAGCATGGAATTGTATTTTCCACTACTTCAGTATTGAGAAGATTCTGGGCAGTCTCAAAGGTGAGAGATGGAAATGATTCTCTCCAGCAGCTGCTTCACTCTGCTTTGAGTGGTGTTTGAGAAGGCACTATTGAACTGTCCTGGCATTTGTGGAACTTAATATTTTGTTTTTTAAATATTAGCCAGTGTCTTGAGCTTGGATCTACATTCATTTGAAGGTTTGAGGGTGCTGGTTTAAGGCGACTCGTTTTAGCTACTGGAGACTTTATCTTTTCATTGCTTACTGTCTGTATTATGTATGTGCTCTTTGAGGCAGCTGAGAGACCCCAGTGAGGAGGAGACCAGCAGCAAGGTTTGAAGATATTGTTTGTTCTCTTAGCCCTGATGATACTAAGAACATGCTCTATTGACATGTGCATAACTCAGTTTGCAGCTGAACGAGGTTCACCAGAAACGCTGTTAAGTGGTGCAGTGGAAACGATATGTTTCAAGTTTCTGATCTGTTTCCATAACTGAGGTGAAGCAGCACCTTGGAAGGTCCTGGGACAGCAGTAGGAATGTCTTTGGGGTGATAATGACCAGTATCGGTGTTTGCCAGCAAGGGTTGTCTGAGCTGACAGTTGAACTGCCCTGCTGCTCCTTCCATGGGGTGCGGGTTGTTCTGAACTGTGCCGTGTCCTGTAGAGCCTGTCAGAGCAACACTCAACAGGATGCTGGGTTTTTAAAAGCTGTCTTTGCACAGGCAATTTTTTCCTGCAGTGTTTAATTGTGCAGCTTCATTGATCAGATGAGCGGTGGGAGTGCTCAGGATGCGAGTGCACTGTGTGCTCAGGGTGGTTTTGTCACTTCTGCTTTGTGTTGAGAGCAACTGAATTAAGATGCTAAGGAAAAAAAAGGATAAATTCATCTCCCTGGAGAACTTGTGTTCTCGGACTAAGATCTGACCAGCAGCTGCCTGGTGAGGGACGGTGCTTGGGAAGGGTGAGGTT